CAAATCGGGTTAGGGCTCAGTTCTGATCGGCCCATCTATCTATGATACGAAATAAAATAAAACTTGGCTTTGGGCCACTTAAGTAATTGAGTTTTAATTTAAATTACAAGTCCAATAATCAAATAAAACTTCAGCAAAACGCGTCCAACTTGGCGTCCGAAATCGACCAGCTTCCAGTCCGAATTGGGCTTCGAGCTCTTCATAAGAATTGTAGCGCTCTGTGTTATCTGAAAAACCCAACAAGAACGGAGTTAATCTGACAACTATGGGCCGAGATATGGCCAAAATACAGAAGTAACGTAAAGCTGAAAAATTCTGACGAAAATAAATTAAACCCAATCAAAAACTAAAAATCTAAATTAACTCTAAAAATCATTATTTTTTTCAAATAAATCCTAAAAATACTAATCAAAAGTAAAAAATAAGTGTAATAAAATATGAGTTATCAACTTGCCGGTGAGCATCATATAACATTCTCTCTCCTTATAAAATTAGGGGGAGAGAGAAGTGAAGTAGATAGAATATAAAAAATATCAAATATATGTCAAAACGACATTGCTTCATTTAAAATAACACAAAGTTGTATAATTGAAATTGACAAATATTTTTTCAAAAAAGTAGATAGAAAAACAAATGGAACCTGATGACAATACCTTATAATAACATCAAGGTATTAGCAAACAACAATGTCAGGAGGTGGGTCTTCGAACTGACAAAACTTCTCGTCTAAACGATCTATCAGGAAGTTGGACATTCATGTTGGGTATGACTAGTATCTTGCATTCAGATGACGATATTTGTTGGCGAGACGCAAAGAAAGCCAACGGAAAACCATGGAAGCCCGTAATTGTTGTAAGTCTTGGATTTATTTTATTTTATTTTTAGTAATTTGGGCTCGAGCTTATGAATAACTATTGTTGCTTAGAGTATCTAAGTCTAGTTATATTTGCATTGTAAATTGAGTTTTTTTGTAATAATGAGTGCTACGAGGAGAATTTAATACATATTGCTGCATACAACTCACATTGGGTGCAACAAGAAAAATTTATTTTTTCACTTTTATTCCTTCCTCTCTTTTAGATATGCAATTGTGTGTATGATTGTTCGGTGCCAACAATTCAATCATCATAAAGTTGCCTTCCCTATAAATGTTCCTTGTAAGGATATTCCAACTTTTAAAGAGCCATGTCTGAACGCGTCTCACCAGATGAGTTTCTTGAATTGCATAATTATTTTTGGTGAGCAAAATGATTGCTGTCGGGGAATCATTTTCCAATACAATATTATGCCATCCTTTTTTCCATGCCAGCTCTAAACCTTTCAAGATGTCCCAAAGTTTCGCAATAAAAGCGAGACAGACACCTAACCTCAAAGCATATCCTCCCTACCAATGCCCCAAGCATCCCTCGCCATACCTATAGACGCAACCAGGTTAGGAGAACTGCGAGCTGCACCGTTTGAATTGATCTTAATCTAGCCCTCATTGGGAGGAAGGCTTGTAACATGAATCTCCATGACAGACCTAGGTGGATGCATCTTAGCAACGACATTGGTGGCATTATTATTTTGCATTGCTAGTCATTTGATATATCCACTATCCAGGCTTTGGGGGGTAGCCACGTGTGAGTGGATGCATTGATTTCTCCAGAATAGGACTTGCCAACACATTATAACAAAATCCGTCTACTATAGAATGTTGAATACTCCCCTAAGATTGTAAGTTATATTCTTGTCCACCAACTCAAGGAGACTACAGAGAAAAAATGGTCATAGGGAGTTGTACCGATGAGATCTATAAGCCCACTATGTTTCCGATGGGGATGAGTCAATATATGGATAATACCCTTAGCACTGATACAGACCAGGCTAAGAAGTATAAAGCTAAGCGTAAGCAGTGGATAGATAATAAGCAAAAGGATGATATGACTCAAGTAAATGGGCAATATAACGATACATAAGATACCTTTAAGGTGTGCCCATGGGGGCTATTTATAGGGGAAACAGTGTGGGTTGGTGAGAGGGAGGTCAACTCTCCTTGGGATTTACTCCCATGATGCAGTGTTAGGCGTGCTGGCGCTGTCATTGTGGCAGTGTTGCGCTCTCTGTATTCTGGCGATGTCAGCACCGGGCAAAGGGGGAGTTTCCCTTTGCGGTGTCTGTCGTAGTCGCCTTCGATGGTTAGCGTTCCAAGGTGGGGCATTTTGGTGTATGCCTTGGACCTGCTGCTACATTGGGGGTTGAGAAGGTCCATGTCAGCCCTTAGGGCTGACGCGGGGTCACGCCCGGTATTGGGCCTGGATAGTTGGGCCACTTTAGTACTTGGGCCATCCGGAACATGAGTATAGGGGAATCACGAATGGCGTGATGGTCTCCCCATTTTGTATGCTAACTATTTTGGAATAGGATCTAGTGCAAGCTCACCTAAGATTCGCCCACGAAGAAGCCAACTGTCCAATAAACTAAGTGTGTCCACGACAATCATTCTGTTTTCTGACACTGTTTCTGAAAAGAAATAATTCTTTTATATTTTTGTGCCTTGGAAGTATTTTTGCGAAAAAAAATATGTTTGATAATATATTCTATTTTTATTCCGAGAATAAAAATTGCGTTTGATAATATAACAAATAATATAATAAAAAATAATTCCTATTAAGCATAATTTTTTTTTGGATCATCATTTTCCTTTTTCATATGGTGTGGTGGTGGCGGTGGCTTTGTGATGGTAGTGGTGGTATAGTGGTGACAGCAGTGGCTGCGGCGATGGTGCGAGTGGTTGGTGGCAGTGGTGACGATGGCATGGTGATGGCGGTGACGACAGTGACTGCGATGATGGTAGTGGTGATTGGTGATAGAGGTGGTGGTAGCGATGGTGGTGGTGGTGGCGACAGTGATGGTAGTGGTGGAAAGTGATTGAGAGAGACACGTGTTTCTCATTTTGTGTCCGGGAACAAAAAAAACAAAAAAGTATTTATTTAATTTTTTATTCTCTAGCACAAAAAATTAAGAGTAAATACTTTTTTTGGTCCTCAGCAAATTTCACGATGTCCGCTTTAGTCCCTAGCAAATAAAAAGACCCATCGTGGTCCCTAAGAAATTCAAAATGGATCCATTTTAGTCCTTTTGAGGGACTAATATGGGTCTTTTTTGAATTTGTGACGATTTCAACTAAATGAGTCTATTTTGAATTTCTTAGGGACCACGATGGGCCTTTTTATTTGCTAGGGACTAAAGTGAGTATCGTGAAATTTGCTGAGAACCAAAAAGGATATTTATTCAAAAATTAAACTGGTTCATCCCGGGAACAAAAAAATAAATCGATTTTACTAAATGAGTTTTCTATCAATTTCTGTTCTTGGAATGAGAATTAAAAAAGATTTGATTTCGAAAAGGTTGTCATGCACATTATAAGAAACAAAAATTATTTGGAATAGACAAATAGTGTTTGACAAAATCAAAATTTTTTTTTGGAGAGAATGAACGGGTTATTCAAGAACACAAATTAGCAAAAAGAAAGAAATAGCTTTTTTTTTCTCTAGCACACTATTCATTAAATACAGACATCATAAAATATGTTATCTGCATTAAATGTATATTATTTATTAAAAACACTATTTATTAAACACTATTGCTGCACACTATATATTTATTTATTTATTTATTTTTTGCTTTTTTTACTTTTTTTTCAACTGTTTTGTATCTTTTATGTGGGTTCATCTACCACCGACCCCAATTAATTTGGGATAAAGGTGTTGTTGATGTTGATGTTGTTGACAATTTATTTAATAATTTTCTTTCATTTTATTTTATCTTATCTCATTATATTTCATTATATCAATAATTATATATAATTGTTTATACATAAAAAGTTTAGATTAGGGGAGATACACCATATAAGGGGAAAACCACCATTCTCATTGAGAAATTAAAGAGGGATTATACACCACTTAGAAAAGGTATATTCATTGGACATGTGTTCGATTTTCGCTGAATGCATTCTTAGGGAGGGGGCTGAACCTTTAGCCATCACTGACCCCCGCACTCAGGATTAGTCCCATAGCCAGCTCAAAGAGTCGAAGCTTGTGGGGATACCGGAGGGAGCCAACTCGCCTCAAAAAGGTAATTAGGGTTGAGTAACTCTAAAAAAAAAAAAAAAAAAAAGTATATTCAAAGATAATCTGGGGTAAATTATAATCTATCGCTCAATATTTTTACAGTATTTATAGTGTTTGAGTATTTTTATACTATCTCAACTTATACTTGCTAACTGACAACAATTCTATTATCCGGTACTATTTATATAAAGTAATTATTTTTATTTTATTTTCATGGTTAGTTAAAATTTATGAGGAACAAATATATTTGATAAGAGAAAAATATTATATTTACAATATCTCTTGTCTTACAATCTCTTACAACCATTTTTATTATTGTTAAATCAAAATCAAACTAACAATTACAAAATAATATTAATTGAGAATCGTTAATTTAATTTTGATCAAATTGTAATAAAAATAGTTATAAGAAAAAATAGATGATAAATATAACCTTATTCTATATACATTTAATTTTAAGTTATTTTAAATAATTTAGAAAATAAATAACAATTTTTTTTAATATACCTACCCTAATTATCATTTTAAGCGAGTCACCAGATACAATTTTAACTCACTGAATTAGTAATTAACTATGAGATTAATTACAAATGGGGTTAGTTTAAATAAGGGTAAATTATACGGAAATAGATCTTCTCATGTGTTAAAAAAACATGATATGATCATGTGAGAAAATCACAACCATACAAAACTAAATCAACGGTTATGATTTCATAACTATCTATTTTATCATTTTTTTCTTTCTCGTCTTTTTTTATCATTGATCTAGCTTCGTAGAGTTATGATTCATCGTGTGGTTCAGATTAGAGTAACCGGATCCAAATTATACAACACCACCTTGTATACGATTTCGTTACATTCCCCCATCTGTTACATCCATTCCATGAATTCAAACTTTGCCTCGAAGTCGAAGCATCTGGAAAAGAAAGAATTGTTTGGTTCATCTCTGAGCATGAAAAAGAATCGGCGAAGTGAGTCGATGACTAGCTCCATTGCGAAAAGTTCAGCCACTTCCATGAAATCATTGATGGAAACAGAACCCCCTCAGAACTTGTTTCCCTCGATGAACGAGTTCCCGAAACTCTTCGTCGTGCTTGCAGTCGCATCGCTAGTTGCTTGGACCTGCAACCACCTCTTAACCCCTGTTGTTAATCCCCACACGAAACCCTTCTGTGACACCAACGTCGACTCTCCCGATTACTTTTCCGGTGAGAGTTTCTCTCTCAAATTCACTTGCATATGAATTTCGATGCGTTGCAATGCTTCTCTAGTTTCTTTCTAATCTAAGCCTATTAATATGTAATTTTTATTTGATTTCACGTGTTTTCTCCTTTATTTTCGTTTTATACAGTTGATTAGTCTCTCCAGCTTAAGAAAATGTGTTTTGTTTTGCTGTGTTATGCATTTAATATGATTATGAATAATGAGCAATTGCCTGCATCGAGTTATATGTATTAAGCATTGGTGTGGTGGCTTATTGTGCTATGTTCTGTTCTTCTCCGAGATAACATTCCTAGTCAACAAGCCAGTAGGTTGTTGAATTAAACTTTGATGTGGCAAATTGAATTTTTATATCAACAAGATCTTCTTCTTCTTTTTATTTATTTTAATAAAAAGAAAGAAAGACACTGTTTCAGTATCACCCTAGTAGGTTCTTTCGTCTTTCCCGAGTGTGTTCGAGGCATCTTAGTGTTACGCGATAAAGAAAAAGCAGTTGATGGTTGATACAAACAAAAATGAAAAATTGATTGCTGTTTTCCTTCTTTCTTTTGAATTATACTGCGGTTTTATGTCCAGGGTTTCCATTTCTTATGTATCCTAGTGTTTATTTTGAAATGGTATACATCATTATGTTGTTTTATTCAATTTGGTAGGATACAGATGCCTTTGTAATGCAAGCCCCACGCGATGTTTATCTGCTTCATATTACCTCTAATAATTTTCTTGTGAGTTCATTCTCTGCCTTGTATTATCAATCAAGTATTGTAGTCTCAACACATAGGTCCGGCAATATATTTGTTTCTTGTGTAATTTCTGATGACTGGGTATGGTTACAGATATTTGTGAACCTTGTCCAAGTAATGGAGAATGCTATGGTGGCAAGTTGGAATGTCTTCAGGGTTACCAGAAGCATGGAAAATTATGTGTAGAAGATGGAGATATTAATGAATCTGCCCGAAAGATTGTGTGTCCCTAGAATTTGATTTGTTTGGGTTTACTGGTTCTTGGAAATAATACTGTCTATTATTCTTTTATTTTTCCTTCTTTTCATTTTGTTTATATCTTTCTGATTGACAATTTGTTTGTGTAGGTAGAGAGAGTTGAATATCACCTCTGTGAAGAATATGCTCAATTTATGTGCTATGGAACTGGATCAATTTGGGTTAGTTTTGTCATTTTCACTCTTGGATGGTGAAATTTACTTAAATTTATTGTATACTTGCCTGTGTTTATTACTGCTTGAGTTGTTCTTTTAATGTTGCTGATTTCAAAATCCCTTTTGTGTTCCCATCTCAGGTTCATGAGGATGATTTGTGGAATTATTTTGAGCAAATGGGAAATATCAAAGTGGACAATGCACTTTATAATTATACAAAACAAAGGGCAGTTGAGACAATGGGTAAATTATTAGAGATGAGGTTAAACTCTCATGGGTATATTGTCTTTTCTTGCTTTTTAATTTGTAAGTCAAAAGTGGCTTTGTGACTTATAGTCATATGTTTCCTAAGAGGCTAAGACTTCTGATTGGGATGTTACTTATGTCTCGTGCAGGATGAAGGAGTTTAAGTGTCCAGATTTACTGGCAGAGCATTACAAGCCATACGCCTGCCGCATTCATCAGTGGATCTCACAGCATATTCTAGTTGTTTTGCTCATTTGTGCCATGGTATCTCTTCCTTAAACTTAAAGGCATACTTTTAATGGATATATTCTGTTATCAATGAGTAAACTTGTTAACTGTATTGAGATTAAACAGCTTGTTGGGTGCACAACTTTGTTCTGGAAGGTCCGTCGGAAACAACACATGTCAAGACGAGTTGAGGAGCTTTACAACCAGGTATGGTGGGAATATATATATTTATATAGTAGCCTAGATTTTTGACATACAATGATATGGTTTGTTGTCCGACTTCAAATTTTATCATCTTTTCTAATTCTATATCCATGTCCTGAATAAAGTTTTGTGACAAATCATTTCAAGCCAGTGCTGGTTGTGAAATCTTATTCTTATCATATGTATTATGACCAGAGCAAATGAGTGATTTATACATGCTTCATGAATGAATTTTGATTTCTTCAGTTTAACAGAAACAGTGACCAGACTGCCACGTTTTTGGCAATTTTTTATCCATCTATCACGTGAACAGTGTTTTTTATCAGACTACCACGCGTTGAAGTTCGCCACGACTGGTAGGGAACTTGGTGGCCAATGATTTTGTGACACATGTCACACTTTCACAGGAAAAAGCTGATTGGATTAAGTTCGCTACCACTGGTAGCGAACTTCAACGTGTGGCAGTCTGGTAAATTTTACTATTCGCGTGGCAGTTTGGTATATAAATGCCAAAAAACGTGGCACATTGGTCACTGTTCCTATGATTTTAAGTTGTTATGAGCAAGGCCTTGATTAATAATGTATGGAATCAAATAAATATACTCCAATGTCTACTAAAAAAAGTATATATATACTCTAACACACCATACTATTTCGTGAACTCTAAAAAATCACTCCCCGTTAAATACTCGCTAGTTTAACGGGGAGTGGTTTTTTAGAGTTCACGAAATAGTATGGTGTGTTAGAGGGAAGTTCTGCACTTAGTGAGCATAGGGTTCATGTTCCCCACTGTACGATCTGATATGTATTACAGTTCTGTAGGTTTAGATGAGTGAAAAAATATCCCTATTCCCTAATTTTTGTTGGTGGAATTTGTATGAACTTGGATTCTGAATTATGCAGTGGACCAATAGCTCAGATGGCAAAGTAAGTCTATCGTGTGGTTTTTATCAAATAAATATATAAATAAAATTGTGTTACTTTTGTCACCTGTTAACTATAATTACAACTTTTGTGCACAGGTTCTTTTGTCTGGATGACCAATTGTGGCTTTATTATGATTCCATCTCTGTTAATACTTCTTTGTTGCTGATGTTATAGGTCTGTGAAATACTTGAAGAAAATGCATTGACATCAAAGAGTGTAAATAGTGAATGTGAACCTTGGGTTGTCGCTTCTAGGTTACGTGATCACCTGCTTTTGCCAAGAGAGCGGAAGGACCCTTTATTATGGAAAAAGGTAGTTTTGAAGTTATTTTGAAATTTGTTGCACTTGATTATCCTGTATTACCATAATAATAATTAATCAATTAGCAAAACAGAGCAAACTAATTCCTTTTGTCTGTATTAGTTAACTCCATGCTTCAGTTGGTTTTCTGCTGCAGAAGTTGCCCTTGTTTCCTGGGCTGATTTTGGAGTTAAGTTACAGCGTAGGATTTTTACCAGTGATGACGTCCTACATTCTCTTTGTCTATACTTCTGATCCTTTTGTTTAACCTTCCACTCGAAAATAGCCATTCTTGAGGATTTCAGCGAAGATTAAGTCATACTTTCTTATGACAGTTGGTTTTTAATTTCTTTCTCATTCCACATATTAATTGATGAAGGGTGCAATCTTTGAACCCAACTATTTGTGGAGCTTCTGTTCATGAAATCACTTTGTACTGCAATTAAAGTAAAATATTTCCATGTTTTTTTACAATTAACTAAATGAATCATCATTTCTGTGGTAACTTTGTTTGGGATACAGGTAGAAGAATTGGTTCAAGAAGATTCTCGAGTAGATTGCTATCCAAAGTTGGTGAAGGGTGAATCAAAAGTGGTATGGGAATGGCAAGGTACATGGCTTACCGACATTTTTCTGTTGTCAATGAGAACAAGATGTTCCAAAAAAAATTACTTCAAAATTGGGGAACTTTAGCTAAACTATTTTCATTATTCAATTCACTTCTAGTATAAATTTGTTAGACAATAAAATGAAAATCTGATCCTTCTAGTGATGACGAGCAGTTTAATATATTGATAAAGTTCTAAAGAATTGCTGCGAGGCAGTCTTTTCAGCTAACGTTCTGATTATTTTTGTTAAGTTTACCAGTTATTAATTTTTCTTTCCTTGCCCCATACTCTACAGTTGAAGGCTCTCTGAGCGCTTCAAAGATGAAGATCAAAAGAGATGCAAGCAAAACAAGGGTCAATGAAAGCATGGACCGGAATAATCAACAACGCCCCTCAATGAAAGCAGGTCAGTGGTTATGTTCCTACCATATGCTTTCTAGTCATGCTTGTTTTCTGATGTAGTAAATTTGATTTGTTGCGCCATCAATTTGATGCAGAGCCTATGAAACCAATTTTTTGATACGAAGGCTTCTTTGAATAGGGACTACAGTCCCGCATGTGTAAATTTTGACGGCCTAAACTCATGTCTCAGCTGAAGCGTAGTCCTACCTTATTTGTTCAAAGAAGCTGAGAAAGATATCTTGTTTATGTTTACAGCAGCAAGGGGCGGCATTGGTGAAAGTGTGACCTGCATTCAATTAACCATTTGTTCACCAGAAAAAGTGTAGATTCATAGGACTTGCAAGGTTTGTATTATGGGATGTTCTCATAGCTCAGGGAGAAGAATCAAGTCCTTGAAACTCCGTACCTCCGTGGGTCTCCTATTGACGGTTAACAAACTAGTCATGTGGTGCTAACTAAATTCAATTTAGCATTTTTCTTCTGAAACACAAAATCCAGTATAAAACAAAGAATGATATGATATCATATGCAGAGAAAAGTGGAGTTCAGATAAGGCATATGGATGTGAGTACGAATGTAGGTGAATTTGTGCCGGTAATATTTGCGGAATTGGCATATTATAATCTGTTTACTGTTCTGCCCACCTTAATATTTTAAGGGGTGTCGGTTAAAAGAGAAATTTTTGGTCTTGAGAATCATGATTTTTAAAAATATGTTAAGAAAGTGAATTTTTTAGGAATGTTATCAAAAATTTGTTTAATAGGCCAAAATATTTTTGGATTGTTGGCTCAAGTTTCCTTATTCTATATTTGGTTGATTGTTAATGATTTATGGAAATGTGTGCTAATTTTAAAAAATGAACTTTTCATGAATTTTTGTCTAAACCGGACGATTGTGGCGTTGGAGTCACCGGAGCGAAGCAGTGTGGTAGAAAGGAATTCAGTAAAGACGTTGTGAAAGTGAAGAGAGGAATTCACAATTTTGTAAGGTAGAGCATCACGACTAGAGCTTAATCAAGGGAGAGTATATTAGTTATGAAAATATTAAAGCTGAGTTATTTATGTTTTATAAATGAGAAATGTTTTTCTCAAGTTACATAAATTTTTTTATCTCATGTCATAGATATTCGAGCCAACATTTCTTTTTCTTTTTTATTTTCTTTTAACTGTGGGACCCACCCAATTATGTCTCTACATGAGATAATACTATCTCATGTAGCATGAGAAAAGCATTGCCCTTTATAAATTATGTAAAATTTTTCTATCGGTGGAATTCAAGAATACTCATCCACCTAGTGGTATTATTTCATGAGATTCTTATCACAATTTTAATTCTTAAGAATCTCATTTTTCTATAAATTTTTTAAGATTCCTTGTATCAAACGTGGGTTAAGATTTTAAATGTGAATTTTTTAGGAATCTAAAATTTATCCCTATGTCAAACGGCCCTTATAAAGATAATTTTATTTTCGTTAAAACTTTACTCTTATTATACTTATCACATAAAAACACAATCCGTAAAATTTCAGATTATTATTTTATTTCGCAAATTTACATACAATATAAATGTTAACACTTTACTCTTTTCTTTTGTCTAGTATTGTTTAAAATTTAAATAAAATTTTTAATAGGACTCTTTAAGAAGTATTCGATTAATTACATTTATTTTAGTGAAGCACTTATTTTAAAGTAAATAAATTTCTATACCAGGCTAATAGTTAGTAGTTTGTTTTAGATTCAGAACGCCAAAGGACATACTAGGAGGTAGAAATTGTTCTACATCTTTGCACCGTTAATGGAAAATGTGAAAAGTCCGTTTGCGGTGGAAAGAATTTGGTCCAAACAAGTACTAAGGATCTATTATGTTTAAAAATTAAATTACATATGCTGGACCCCCCAATATTAAATAAACTCAGTACCGTGTAATGTGCTATTATTTTATGGGTTCGCTTTTTTCTGCAGTTTTACTGCAGATAAATTATTTGCGGTAAGTCCAATACGACATCGTTTTTGGGCGAAAATCATGATATTTTTGTAATTTTAATTTATTTCAGGATTATAATAGGCTTTATATTTATATTTTTTTAAGATTTCAATACCAAAACAACGTTGTTTTTAGAATAAATGCAGATAACTTATCTGCATTAATTGCAGAAATATCTTCCCCTTATTTTATTCAGTAATGAACAAAACATTGGTCGTGGGTTCGAGCCCCACGGGGGGCGATTTTCATATTTTTTCTTTTGAAGTGTTCCCTTTTCTGTGTTAAATTTCATACAATCTTTTTACTGATTAAGCATATAAATAAACAACAGTTATATTTATAATTTTTTTTTAAAAAACTACATTATATTAAGGATAGTATACCTATGTAGCACCGATACGACACGCGACACGTGACACGAGACACGATACGACACGATACGACACGACACTCTGACACGTCAATCCTAAAAAATTCTGGATTTCGACACATTGGGACACATTTTAATATTAAATAATATTTTTAATTTATATAGTGTATATTTCATTTAATATTTAATAATTTAACAAAAAATGAAACTAAATTAATAATACTCATCAACACGTTATAAAGATGGAAAGCTTTAATAAAAAAAATAAGAACTGGGATGAGAGAGAGATATAATATCAGATAGAGAGATCAAATCATATTAGAGAGAGATCAGAGAGAAAGAGATACAACAAGAGCGTGATAAGAATTGACAACAATGATACTGAGATGATCTCTTATCTACTTAAGGGGAAAAAAGACAAAAAAATAAAATTGATATAATCAGGTGGAAGCTTTATTAATATATTTTAATTTTTTTTAAAAATAATTTTTTAAAAAAAATTAAAAAAAAATTAAAAAAATTACGAAAAATGCAATTTGACCGTGTCAGACAAGGTCAAATTTGCGTGTCGGAATGGTCAACGTGTCCGAAAAAGTTGACCGCGTGTCCGACACCGTGTCGGAGCGTGTCAGACGACTCTCCCTGTTTTTACAAGTGTCCGTGCTTCCTTGTAGTATACTACGTACTGAAATTTACTAATCCTAATATATAATATAATTAATATCGTAATTTTTTTTTTTGTAAATATAATTTTTTTGATAAACAAATTGTCATTGAACCATTTTTTACACAGAAGTAATTAAGCGTAGACTTATTGTCATTGAACCTTTGTAGTTAGGGATGCTAAACGAAACAGTAGACTTTTACTCGGCTTATGAATAACTGAGCTTACATGTCTAAAATTACTCGTTTAATAAAAAGGCCTCAGACTCTAATTGAAAAGCTCGGCCTTAGAGCCTTCTGGGCTGGCCTAGTTTATTAATTTTAATTTTAATTTTATATTTTATATACTGCTTGTAATAGCTCTCTCTCTCCTCAATCCATTTCCCCTAATTTTATTGGTTAAACAGACTTTTTGAATGATTTTGTTCTTTATTATACTATTTGGATATACATCAAATTTATGAATATTTATAGAATTACTAGTGTTGTTGATTGTATATTCTGTTTGGATAAATTTCTGTTGTCTTATTTTTTTAAACAGGCTAAACCAGACTTTTATTTTTTGTAAATAAGTCAGGGCGCATGCCGATAATTATATTTATACCAGATAACACATGCTTGGTCAGGCTGACACATTTAAACACAAACTTAACCTCTTAAGACCAAAGCTCGGCTCGGCTCGACCGGTTAACCAATGGCGGATCCATAGCCAAGCCAGCAGGTGCCTTGACACCTGCTTGTTTTTTTTTACTTATTATATAATTAATTATAATTAATTAAGGTAAAAATTGTAATTTGGCACCACCTAAATAGAAAATCAAATACTCAATACAAAATAACAACAAATCATCTAAATGCAAACAAATAATAAGGAACATGTATAGTATGGTTATTTTTGTGTTTTACCTTTTTTTATTTTTTATCCTGTATATTTGTTTTTTTCCTACTTTATTTTAATCAGTTATGTTATTTATTCTTACTCCTATTATTTAAAAAAAAAGATTTCTAAACTTAATCACAAAAATAATTAGTTGACCTATTTCTAAACTTAATCACAAAATTTTTACCTTAAGATAATATTTGGTTCATTACTTATTATGTTGTGGGAGGAAAATGAAATTCTTATGTTTGAAATGTTTACTTAAAAGGTTAGTGCATTTTTATATGTTTTCTTTGATATATAATCAACGATAATTATTCATTTGAATTTTCAATATTATGTGACATTATTTAGATAACTATGTTAGAATTTATAATAAATTTTTTCTCTGATAAATTTGTATAATTATAATAAATATTTTAATAATTTAATATGTCAAATTTTTTGGTACCACCTAAATTTTTGGACCGGCTCCGCCATTGCCGTTAACACTCCTACTTGTAGTCGTAAGAGATCCAAATGTGTGCATGTAGAAAAATTTTAATATGCTCCAAGATTACTACGATTATTTCATTAAAAAATTGATATCTAGATAAAATTTTATTTTTTTCTCTTCAACTTTTCCAGTCCTCCAGTCTATGAGTATATCTATGATATAATGCATCTACATACGTGTTGTGTTTGTGAGTGCCCTTAAAATTCTTAACAGATGTCGTGTACAATGTAAATCCAAGTGTTACTTGTAGGAGAACACCAACCAAAAATAGCCATATTAAAATATTTTTTGGCTTTGTTATGGCCGTTTCAACCTCTCCAGGAACTGGTATTATATGGTCGTCACCTTGAGGAACATTACTGCCACCACCTCCTGCCGAAGCCCTGTCAGGATCATTGCCAACTCCTGGAGTAGCCCTGTTGGTACCACCACCTTCTACCGGAGCACTATCAATATCATGGCCAACACCTTCTACCGGAGCCCTATCAATATCATGGCCAACACCTACCGAAGCACTATCAATATCATGACCACCACCTCCTACTGCAGCGCTGTCGGTACCACCACCACCACCTCCTGCCGAAGCCCTGTCAGGATCATTGCCAACAACTCCTAGAGTAGCCCTGTCAGTATCATTGACACCACCTCTTGATGCAGCTGTGTCGGTACCACCTTCTACCGGAGCACTATCAATATCATGGCCACCACCTCCTACTGCAGCGCTGTCGGTACCACCACCACCACTACCTCTTACCGGAGCCCAGCTGGTACCATGGCCACGACCTCTTATCGGAGCCCAACTAGTACCACCACCTCCTATAGTAGCCCGGCTGATACCACGACCACCACCTCTTACCGGAGCCCAGCTGGTACCACCACCACCTATAGAAGCCCAACTGATACCACGACCACCACCTCTTACCGGAGCCCAGCCGGTACCACGTCCTACCGGAGCCCTATCAGTACCATGACCACGACCTCTTACCGGAGCCCAGCGGGTACCATGACCACCACCTCTTACCGGAGCCCAGCTGGTACCACGGCCACAACCTCTTACCGGAGCCCAGCTGGTACCACGGCCTCCACCTCCTATAGTAGCCCGGCTGATATCATGGCCACCAACTCTTACCGGAGCCCAGCGCCACCACGTCCTACCGGAGCCCAGCTGGTACCACGTCTTACCGGAGCCCTATCAGTACCATGACCACGACCTCTTACCGGAGCCCAGCGGGTACCATGACCACGACCTCCTACTGGAGCCCAGCGGGTACCCCGACCACCACCTATTGCAGCCCTGTCAATATCACGGCCACCACATCCTACTGGAGCTTGGCTGGTACCACATCCTACATCCATTCCTGCATTTTCAAAAGAAAAAAAAGGGCAAAGAAATAAGTAACAACTCAAGTTGATTATCCTTATTACTAAGACAAAATGTCATATATCTAAAGTATGTAGGCAGTGTCCTACTAGTTGGCAGACTATACTGAGCTCAAAACAAGATACACACAAAAGAGTCATCTTTTACTATCACCCACCTGCTTCTATATGCTTATTGAGATCGCAAAAAGAAATCGAAGCCATAGTTATGGTGAATTCCTAAAGAAAATAGAATCGCTATACCACTAATGAAATAAGTAACAATACATATTGAATATTCTCATTACTACCAGAAACATGTCACATAATTGTATTTACAATAGGTGGCCAGTTCCCTACAAGTTGGCCGACTATGTTGTATAACGGCATTGTCTGAATTTTTTTTTAAAAAAAGAAGAGAAAATATTTGAGATTTTTTTTTTAAAAAAAATAATTAAAAACATCAGGGCCTGTAAGTGTGCTGATTATCTAGCACATTTTCCTTGTAATGATGACGCTTTGTTTGTTCATCAAGAACCCCTGGAAATCTTGAGTTTTTGCTGGCTCAAGATGCAGGGCTGTAAGTGTTTAGTTTCTTTCTGGGCTTTTGCCCCTTTTTCTTACTAAAAAAAAAAAATCTCCAATGCAACGTGAAAAACAGTGAATGTGATTTTTTTTTAAAAAAAAAAAATTAAAAACAACAGCAGGGCCTGTAAGTGTGCTGATTATCTAGCACATTTTCCTTGTAATGATGACGTTTTGTTTCTTCGTCAAGAACCCCCTGTTTAGTTATTTTTTTTTAAAACAAAAAACAAAAACAAAAAATTTAAGATTTTTTTTAAAAAAAATAATAATTAAAAACAACAGCAGGGGCTGTAAGTGTGCTGATTATCTAGCACATTTTCCTTGTAATGATGACGTTTTGTTTGTTCATCAAGAACCCCCTGGAAATCTTGAGTTTTTGCTGGCTCAAGATGCAGGGTTGTAAGTGTTTAGTTTTTTTCTGGGCTTTTGCCCCTTTTTCCTACTAAAAAAAACACTTCAATGCACCGTTAAAAACAGTGAAGAACAGGGAATGTGTGATATCAAATATTACATATCAATGAGAAGGACAAGAAGAAACAATGTATACCACCTGAATCTAGCTATGAATCAATTCACGCAAAGCTTGCAAGATATGTATACCACTGTAGAAACAACGTATGCCACCAGAAAAAATGAAGAAGAAGATGGGCTTCCTTGAAGGCACAAAGCTTGAAACTTGAGAAAGAAAGAGAGAGAGCGAGAGAGATAGATGTTATATAAAAAATGGAAATCAGTGTATAAAAAGATAGGTTTTCTTGATCTTTGACATATTCTTTTCATCTGAAATAGAAATCAGTGTATCAAAAGATTGCGAGATTGCGAGATTCCTGAAACTTGAAAATGCAGGAATGGATGTAGGATGTGGTACCAGCCAAGCTCCAGTAGGATGTGGTGGCCGTGATATTGACAGGGCTGCAATAGGAGGTCGTGGTCATGGTACCCGCTGGGCTCCGGTAAGAGGTCGTGGTCATGGTACCCGCTGGGCTCCGGTAAGAGGTCGTGGTCATGGTACTAATAGGGCTCCGGTAAGACGTGGTACCAGCTGGGCTCCGGTAAGAGTTGGTGGCCATGATATCAGCCGGGCTACTATAGGAGGTGGAGGCCGTGGTACCAGCTGGGCTCCGGTAAGAGGTCATGGCCGTGGTACCAGCTGGGCTCCGGTAAGAGGTGGTGGTCATGGTACCCGCTGGGCTCCGGTAAGAGGTCATGGTCATGGTACTGATAGGGCTCCGGTAGGACGTGGTACCGGCTGGGCTCCGGTAAGAGGTGGTGGTCGTGGTATCAGCTGGGCTTCTATAGGAGGTGGTGGTGGTGGTACCAGCTGGGCTCCGGTAAGAGGTGGTGGTCGTGGTATCAGCCGGGCTACTATAGGAGGTGGTGGTACCAGTTGGGCTCCGATAAGAGGTCGTGGTCATGGTACCAGCTGGGCTCCGGTAAGAGGTAGTGGTGGTGGTACCGACAGCGCTGCAGTAGGAGGTGGTGGCCATGATATTGATAGTGCTCCGGTAGAAGGTGGTACCGACACGGCTGCATCAAGAGGTGGTGTCAATGATACTGACAGGGCTACTCTAGGAGTTGTTGGCAATGATCCTGACAGGGCTTTGGCAGGAGGTGGTGGTGGTGGTACCGACAGCGCTGCAGTAGGAGGTGGTGGCCATGATATTGATAGTGCTTCGGTAGGTGTTGGCCATGATATTGATAGGGCTCCGGTAGAAGGTGTTGGCCATGATATTGATAGTGCTCCGGTAGAAGGTGGTGGTACCAACAGGGCTACTCCAGGAGTTGGCAATGATCCTGACAGGGCTTCGGCAGGAGGTGGTGGCGTAATGTTCCTCAAGGTGACGACCATATAATACCAGTTCCTGGAGAGGTTGAAACGGCCATAACAAAGCCAAAAAATATTTTAATATGGCTATTTTTGGTTGGTGTTCTCCTACAAGTAACACTTGGATTTACATTGTACACGACATCTGTTAAGAATTTTAAGGGCACTCACAAACACAACACGTATGTAGATGCATTATATTTTGCAGTAGTAACTTTTAGCTCAGTTGGATACGGAGATCTTGTTCCTAACACCATATTGACCAAGATGTTAGTATGTGCTTACATTTGAGTAAGTTTTGGGTTCCTTAATGTCTTGCTAGATAGGTCGATATCATACTCTAGTTCAGAACTTACACAACTGGTGATGAAAAGGAGCATAAGAATCAAGGCTTTTATGATTTTGACATTAATAGTTGTTCTTATTTTAGTACATGTATTGATAATACACTACATTGAGAAGATGGAATGGATTGATAGTGTTTATTTGTCCATCATATCCATTTCAACCGTTGGATACGGTGATTTATCTTTTAGTACTGTAAAAGGAAGATGTTCTGCTTTAGTCTTGCTTTCGATAAGCACAAAGGTAGTTGAGAATGCCTTTTATTACCTGAGTGATTATATCATAGATATATTCATAGACTGAAGGACTGGAAAACTGGTTCATGAGCGGATAATCTTATCAAGAGAATTGGTTGCTGCTGATGTGGATAAAGATGGATATATCAGGTATTGTTTTTGTCATTTAGAACATCATATGCAGCTGAAGTTTGTTCAAAATTTTAAAATTTTATCACAAATTTCCTTGTTGGTAACCGTTTCTTTCATTTCTTTTTATTCTTTGCAGTAAATTTAAATATATCTTATACAAGCTTCAACAAATGGGGAAGATAACCGAGCAAGACATTCATCTAATAGACCAGCTATTTAATTCATTGGATCCTCTCACAGATTTGGCAAGTTTAGACTTGCTACTCGTGCTACCCTCCTAGAAACTACCTAAATAGGAGTAGGATAATGTAATTTTTGTTATGTACCAACTAAGTTGCTTGTATCTTCTATTGTTGGTTAGTATCAATGGAACCAAGCCTTTACTATGATCATTAAACTACATTTAGTCTTGTTATAGTTAGTTAAAAATCTCCTTCAAAGCCACCAACTAAATGGCTTAGATCAGGTTTTGATTGGAAATGATTAAAGTCTACCTATCATAGCCATGGGTTTCTCTTCCTTTACTTCTCCCTTTGATTCTAAAGTTCAATTGCATCTTAAAAATCTATTACTTGTTCCTTCCATTACAAAGGACCTCATTAGTGTCAGTAAATTTGTAAGAAGCAATGATGTATTTTGAGTTTCATCCCAACATCTGTCTTGTTAAATCAAAGGATTTGCATAAAATCCTGCTCAAAGGGACATTGGGATAGTTGGACTCTACCATTTTACAGACATCAATTTGCTTCAACAAAGTACTGCAGTGGCAACTCCAAGCCCAGATAATGTGCCCTTAAGCTCATATTTGTCTTCTATTTTGCAGTAATTCTACCTAGCATAATAGAGTCCTCTTGAGTTTGTAACTAGTAGTCAATGCAACTCTATAACTACAGCAACAAACATTGTATTCCATCTAATTCTTCATATTCCTTGGGCCATTATCATTTAGGACATCCATATTATGACTCACTCAAAAATGAATTCAAAGCTTATAAAATCCCCTTTAATAATAAAATGACAAAAGACTTTGTGCATCTTGTTGTGTAGCTAAATCTCCCCTTACATTCCTCACCTTCTCAATCAGTATATAATGAACATTTTGAATTGGTTTAAAGTGATCTATGGGGACCCTCGCCTTTGAAATCAACTTTGGATCATTCATATTATATTTTCTTTGTTGATGCACACTCAAAATACACCTGGCTTTATAATTTAAAACAAAAATCTAAGGCACTAGCAGTGTTTAAACAGTTTCACATCATGATCACCACTCAATTCCAAAAACCCCTCAAAGCCCTCCAAAATGACCTTTTTTTTGTTTTGGGTTGTGTGTGTGTGTGTGTGGGGGGGGGGGGGGGGGATATAAAACCTTCACACCTTACCTCAAATTCCAGGGCATTATTCATCGCATTACCTGTCCACATACACACCATCAAAATGGTGTTGTTGAGAAAAAGTATCAACATGGTGAAAACAGGACTGGCCCTATTGGCTCATGCTTCACTGCCTATGCAGTTCTACAACTATGCTTTTGTCTCAGCAACTTATCTCATAAATAAACTCCCTTCTGCCTATATCAATTTTCAAGTACCTCACAAAATAACAAAAAAAAGAAAATCCCTGATTACGATTTTATCAGAATATTTATGTGTGCTTGTTTTTCCTTCCTAATGCCTTACGACAACCATAAACTCAAATTTAGATATAAGAAATATGTATTTCTTGGATACTCAAAAAATCATAAGGGTTATTTCAGTCTTAGCTATGAAGGAAGAGTGTTCATCCAAAGATGTTCTATTTAACAAATACAAATTCCTTATCCTTCATGGCACAACAATTAGGTCAAATGGTTAATTCTTTGCTCTTGTCCCTATTTTTTCTCCTACTTCACCACTTGTTCTAGTGACTACTGTCAACAATTCTAGTCCTTCATTCCCAAACTTCTTTCTCACAACAGCAGCCCAGCCATGAAATTACATTATCCCTAATTTGTGCTCATTGCTCCATTGGATGCCAGTTCTTCTAGTCCAGTTTCACAATCTTCTCTTGCCACTAGAATGCAGATAGAGAGAGAGAGAGAGAGGTGTTATTGATCCTGATTTTAACGGTGCATTGAAGTGTAGTTTAATGATCACTATCCCCAATATGCTAATAACAATTAATGTTAGTCTTCATACAACATGATTTGTATAAAGAAAGGAGTTTATTATTTATTTATTGCAGATAAAGTGCTTGATATTGTTATGATTATATTTTTAGGCGAGAATTTTGATATTGTGATCACACTATATTTATATGCGAGAAGCCTGTGATTGATATGTTGTAATTTTATCTGAGTGTATCTCAACTTCAATGTATATATTATTTTAGTAAAGTGTTGATTTTCTGATTATATGAATTGATTATTTGGGATTAAAAGTTTAATTTACTGTCTACCAAAAAAAAAGTTTAATTTACAACTTTGTCATTAGATTGCATCAGCATAATATTTTGATACAATATTATTTTCTCTTACTCATAAGTTGATTTATGATTTGAGAATTTCTCATATTTATCATTTGAATTAAATATTAATTTAATATATATGTTGCCATGTATCGCTTGTGATTGGTTCTATTATTTACTTACTAAGCTACATTGAGTTTCACCTTGATCATAATTTTGATTTTTTTTTTGGCAAATTAAGTTAAAGAGTCAATTTATAATTCCACTCTCCGGTTTGATGAAGGGAGTCTATTTGATTATTAGTAAGGAGCCTAGCACATCATTCCGTGTGGATAAGGATTATTTATTATTTCAATTTGTTTTGTACAAGATTAATAGGCTATTACTCTAGAGTTTTTACATTATTTCAGTTAGTAGGTTAATCGTAAATTTGATAAGTTTAGATGTATTATTAAATAATTAAGCTTATGATCGGTTTAGTTGGTGGTGAAGTTAAATTTAACCTTCCATACAAAGTTGTTGAATTGCAATACGCATCGTGTATGGTTTGGCCAATTTTTTGTACCATCTATTGTAATCGTATTGAGTCGTAAGATATAATAAAAAAATAATTTAAAAATATATAATATAATTAATATTATATAAATTCAAACAGGATCTAGCAAGCAAAATACATAAATAACTAAAGTACAAATCAGTTTTGATTTTAGCTCTGTTCACAGGCCTAGACATTTTTTGACGTAATTTATTTGTTTCTTGGGCTTTGCACATTCATAAAAAAGAAGAAGTGCAAATCAGTTATTCTCATTTCCATTAATCTCCAAGACTAATATTATCACTACTATAATTATCAGCGTCTATTGCAGACTTTTCGACTTTGTAAGGCTAAAGCAAAGGCGGTAAAGATATTTTGAAAAGGTATGTTTTTTTCTTTTTGTTTATGAAACCTTCCATTGCTTTAATTTGAATCAGTGTTTTTTTGTTGATTTATTTTTTTATTTTGAAGATGAAGATATTTAGAATATTTACTTAAAAATTTCCTTTATTAATACATATTTTTTAGATTAATTTTTGTGTTTAAATCAAAAATCAAATTTTTATTTTCTTTTGTTTATTAATATTATTTTTTTAAATTTAAATCACAAATTAAATTTTTATTTCTTTTTTTATGTTAAAAATTACAAATTTTGATTTAATAATGTATCGTACGATACATTATACATTGATACGTACCGTATCGTACGATACAACCCCTTTCTGATACACTTCTCAATACATACCACTGAGTTAGTGAATTGTATCATATCGTACAATACTAATACCATGCTTCCATATTATTTTTGCGGGTAAGTGAATTGAAGCTAATTTTTTGGCAAATGGAGCTTAGTTTTAAGAACCATTGTTAGAATAAAATATGATGATGTAAACATTTGTAAATATTATGATAAACATAGGGGCATACCCTTTGAATTGGTGTAACCTATTTTTTACTGAAATAGAAGACAAATCGAGTGTTGATACCGTAACTAATTCTTTGGCCAGTATTGTCATCTTTAAAACTAGTGAATTTATTTTTATTAAATTCAAGTTCTTAATTTGGTCATCGTTGCCTTTAATAATATTTTTTTCAATTAACCATAATTAAAACCCGTGAGTATCTCAATTTCAGTTAAATTCAAGCATATCTATTTAAATTTCTTTTTATTAACTTCAATTACTTCGATTTGTTATCATTTTCTTCAATGGATTATTTTTAATTTATGAAAGTTCATTAATGTGCTATTTATAAAATTATCGTGTTGGTATATGTCTTTTTCCTATATGCACGGACTAATATATATATATATATATGTTTAATTTTTTTTATATACATAAGAATTTAAATAAGGTTAGACACCAATATTTCACTTATGCCAAGGCAAATCTCCACCTTCTTTGAGGATTTTTGGGGGGAATTACAGATAGTCCACCAATGAAGTTCTCACATCGGCCAGAGGGATTGATCATTTTAAAGAGTTACCTTTTAAATTATCTAATGTGTTATCTTAAATATTATTTATTTTGATTGAGACTAAATCTTTTTGTTCAATTATCTAAAGGGTTATTTTTCAAATAACATTTTGCCGTTGTTTTACACTCATTCCTTTTTATTTGTTTTAAAATTAATTATATTGACATTTTGGAAATGACTAAATTATGACCCAGAATAATACGAATAGATGTAGATATCAATATATATGTCCAAATTTGACTTTGCCTTTTGAATTCCCTTGCTATGCAAACTTTATCGTATAATATTAATTAAATAAAAATAAACTTAGAAGGGATTACCTTTTATATATATATATATATATATATATATATATATATATATAGGGATTAGATGATTAGTTGTGTATATATTTCAAAATAATTTATCAAACTTATTTTGATGTTCATCTTACACATTAATACGTGGAACAATGTAGGAAAAATTATATGCTTAAATTAAAAAATATTTTACAAAAAGATAAAGTTTTTTCTTCAACAAGATAAGATAAATTTTCATTGTTTAAATTCAAATATTTTAACAATAAAAAAATTCAAATATATCTAACAATAAGATAGATTTTCCTGTTCAACAATAAGATAAGATAAACTCTTCAATAAGTAACAAGAAAAACAAACGTATGTCATGGAAGCTGTCAAAAGTTAATACATGTATAATTCCTCCTTTTCATTCATATATTTTCTCTTCAACTGAGGTGAACTTATACACGGGTAATCCTCAGTTTGTTACAAGAAGAATAATGCCTAAAAAATTTCTAACCACCATCTAAAAAACAGCTTGCTGATCAGCTTTATAAAACAGAACATAGAACATAGAACAAATTAACATAATACACTGTCGTCTCTATTTTTTCTCTGCCTACTCATGTTTTCAGTTGGAAGCCTTATTTTGTTTCTCACAGTCTTCACACATATCTTTGTTTCTCGGTCTCTCAATGTCCCAAAGCCATGCAGCTCATACACTTTTCCTAATCACATTAACTATGCAGCATGCAAGGATTTGCAATTTCTTGAATCGTCTCTGCACTGGAATTACTATCCATCCTCAAGAACAGTTGATCTTGCTTTCAAGAAGGAAAACACAACGGATTCTAGTTGGATTGCTTGGGCCATCAACCCCACCTCAAAGTGTATGGTTGGTTCCCAAGCATTTGTAGCCGTCCCAACATCATATGGGACTTTGAAAGCCTATACCTCACCAATAACAAGTTATGTAACCCTCTTGCAACACGGTAACCTCAGTTTCCCTGTTCATAATGTTTCGGCAATCTACACAAACGGCCACAAGATCATTTTTGCAAGTTTCCAACTGCCATCCAATGTGACGTTGGTGACTCAGGTTTGGCAAGAAGGTTTTTCTTGGGATGATGGAAATTTAAAAGCACATTTCCTATCAGGACCTAATCTTCAGTCTTTTGGCACCTTAGATTTTATATCTGCGAATGTTTCAGAGATAGGTGTAAAAGTGAATTCCTCAAATACCACACTAAAAAAGGTAACTAGCTAGATTAACTGTTTAATTTGAATTCATTTGTACTTTATCATCAGTTTGAAACTTTGACTAGTATAATATGCATTAATAATACTTTGCATTTTCAGGTCCATGGAATCTTGAATTCTTTTAGTTGGGGATTTCTAATGCCTCTTGGGGTAATATTTGGTCACTACATGAAAGAATTTGAATTTGATTGTGGCGCACCTGCACGCGTTTTGCATCTCACCTGTGTGTCTCTAGCATTTTTTATTGGCTCTGTTGGCTGTTTTACTGGTTTGTATCTGGGAAATCATAATCATTCCGGAGTTCATAATGCTTCACACAGATTCGTTGGCATCACTCTAATGTATTTGACATATGTTCAAGTATGTGTTGCTGTATTTTTGAAGCCTGAAGAGCATCACAAGTATAGAATATTTTGGAAAATTTTTCATTTTATAGTCGGTTATTCAATTTTTTTCCTAGCCATATTGAACTTCTTCATCGGATTTATCATCCTCGACCTTGATGATGACGACAGGATAGGATATTATTATGCGATAATTCTGATCTTGGACTGGGTTGCTTTGCAAGTGGAGTTGGTTAGCGCTCCATTTTTAATTTTAAAAACTATTTTAGATTTGCTCTGACCTGTATTGTTCCTGTTGTTTAAATTCAATAGTTGGGATAGAATATTGTGACACCCAAGTTATGTTACACCCACGTGACACCCAGCCAATCTCACTGTTAGATCGCTTACGTTGATCCAACGGTTATATTTATTTCCATCTTTGTATGGTCATGATTTCCCAAATTTAATATTTTATATTTATTTCTACCTTTGTATGGTTATGATTTCCTATATTTAATGTTTTCACTTTAAATTTGGGAAATCATGATCATTCAAAGATGAAAATAAATATAACCGTTGGATCAGCATAAGCGATCTAACAGTGAGATTGACTGGATGTCACATGAGTGTAACATAACTTGGGTGTCACAATATTCTATCCCTCAATAGTTATACATTCCATTTTTTTACATTTGTAATATTAAATTAATTACTCGAAATTCTAAGGATAACTGATAATTGATCGCTTTATTTAGGTATTAGGTAGTTTAGATACATAACTGTTTAAAATGAATTAATTTTATTGATTTACTTAATTATTTTAGGCGGTTATACTTATCAGCTTGGGTACTAACCACACCTATTAGATTATCAATTTTTTTTTTTGGTAAACAGATTATCAGTTTTAAATTCAATGTTTCTCTGTTAGAGATAGTGTAGTTGAGTTACCTAAGAAAAGTGTTAGAGAGAAGGGGTGCCAATCATGGGCTGTGGACTATGTGAAATAAAATGTAATTCATTGAGAAGTTAGTTCCTTAGTTAGATGCTGTTATATACACGTGTAACTGGTTGTTAGTGGAGCCTGGTAGTTATGCCATATATGCTTAACAGGTGTAAGAATAAATACCTCACAATGAGATGTGTGGGTGCATGTGAATATTTTGAATAAAAGTTCTGAGGTTTATCATCAAGGGTACGCGTCCCTTAACAACTGATGCAGATTCTCAGTTATTGTTAATTTTTTCTTCTCTCGAATCTCACCTTCTCTCTTCAATCCATAGAGACGGAAATTCTACAATTGGATAACGCTAATTGTAAGGTCTACATGTGACTTAAATGGTATTAATTTTGATTTAATGAATAGGTTGACATAAAGGTAATTCGACTAAAGAAGGAGAAAGTTATTTAAAATAGATAATTGTTTTTGATAGGTGCATTTATCAAAAACGATAAGGTTGTTTTTTCAGGAGGATAGTAAAGTGGAAATTTTTTCATAATCTCTTCATAAGAGATGTATCTCATTTTTATCAGAGAATGTATAGGAAAGAAAAAAGGTTAAAGTTACAAGAAGCTTTGTGCCATTACTATCATAATTATTTTGGGACTTTTGAAGATCTAAGAAACTTCCACGTCATGGTTAAAGATTAATATCGCTAATTCAGTTTATGTATATGAAAATATGAATTTCCGATATTTAATTTTGTTCTCGTACCATGATCCCGAAAGGAAAAAACACAAATCGATTGATGAATGGTTACATTTCTTCATATGGAATTTCGACCGAGAAACGCTGGAGTTAAGCGCAATTTCCTGCTACTAGTTCAAGATTCGATCTACTAACGTTTCTATTTGTGGTTTCTACCAGGCACCCCAAACAAATAATAATAATAATAATAACTAATAAGAGTTTATCGGATGTCATGTTGTAGGAAGAAAGTTATGCCATGTCACCAATTATAACTATTTCTCGTAAGAGTACATAGTTATAATTGGGTGACATGACAGTCCATAAGATTCTTGTTAAAGCCTCTTTGGCAATCATAGGCTTAAAGGCTCAAAAAATCAAAAACTGTGAAGAAACCCTAATCCCTTTCTTGAAAACCCTAGCCATCACATGAAGTTATCTCAGCACAAAAATCTAGGGACAAGCCTTCCCAAAAGTCATCGGACGCGGTCTCACGTGCCAGATTTGTGTCGGCGAGAAAAGCTCACGCACAACTACTTCAGGGGACGCGTGTGGGCGTGTAGGGTACCTTCTAGGGAAGCTTTGACTGCCATCTTCATTGCTTTTCCGTCCTCTTTCACGTCGTTGTATTGATTTCTTTAATCGGCCACTGATCGATCACATACACATCCAAATGGTTTCGGATATCTTTTTTTTTTTAACCTTTTTTGGTCTTTTTTTCATTCAATTTTACAAGATATTGAAAACATACAAAAATTAAAGAAGAAACCTAATAATAAAGGATTTTCCCCTTTGTTACAATCTCAAAAGAATACAGATAAATCTCTACCAAGTCAAAAGCCATATCAAGAGCCAAATTAAAATCATTGATTTTTATGAAAAGAATTATAAAAGATAAACATACAACCATATAATCAACAAATATAGAATTCTAGGTGTCATATTTTATGAAGCAAACTAATTACATGAATAATAAAAAAAACCAAAGAACTATATCCACACCCAAACACATTATCTGGTTCTGATACCAATTGTTGACACAATTGGATCTGTGTAGCGAAATCGGCAAGTATACCGTTCATTTCAAGTAATAAAGTGATAAGTAAGATATCGTTCCCTCGAGGATTAATGCACCAATGATTAATTTTAACTATTCCCTTTTTAATTGGAAGAAAAGAATTCAGTTTGATTGTTAAATAGTTGAGATTGTAATTTAAAAATAGAAATTTAAAAATAATTAAATTCAAACGCATGCAAGAATATCAAAAACGTCAAGAATTTATGAGATTGATTAAAAATTGTAAGAAGACTGTAGCCAGGATGCACTTCACCTCCGATCCTCTCTTATATTCCTATATTGTATTTTATAATTAACTAATTCGTTTGCTCAGACAATTCATTATTTCCCTATAAATTAGTTGAACCTTAATGTCTTAGTGATTTCTACCCTTTAACCCAATTAGAATCCTAGTGTGCTACTAATCCCTCTTGAATTAAGCATTAAGCAAATGAATTTAGAAGTCTCCAATCTATGTAAGCCTATGTCTAGGTCATGCACAAATTGTTATTCTACCCTTGTCCAGATTAAAACTCCATTATGCCTATTGTGAGCCCTAACCCTCAAAGCCTTATAGTTAGAGTGATCAGTTATAATCAGAATATGAAAAAATTAACACAGGCAGAATAAAACAAACTAAAATAATTAACTTATAAAAACTGTATAGGAAATATAAAGGATTCACATTGGATTTGTGATCTGTTGTAAATAATATTGATTATTTAGTTTTTATTTAGTCATTTATTGTTGTATTGGGCCAAGCCCTTTGTTGTATTGGGCCAAGCCCATTAGGTTAAAAGTAGGTCAAATATTCTCTATAAATAGAGAACCCTTTGTACACATTATTTACAATTCTATAATATATTAGAATACCCTTTTTCAAGTTGGTATCAGAGCTCTCGATCTAAGGGCTTTGCTTCCGCATATATTATCTTCTTTTTTAACAAAACCCTAATTTCTTTGCCTCTTGCCGCCATCAGCCGCCACCGAAAAATTTTTCCGGGGACCTTTTGGACCAAGGGGACCATTGTTGACCTTATTTTTCCTCCGATCTATCATTCTACGCATTGTTCCTCCGCCACAAACGACCGAAACACCTCCGACCGCCTCCAATCAGATCTGTCTTCACTGTTTGGACCACTTTCCAGCGACTTTTCAACCGCGACCACCCACAGACAGGTGCGCGCTCACTGGACGACCACACCAGAAAAATCTCAGTCGGCGAAGCCCATCCACGCGCTCTCACGCGCCTTCCCTTTCTCGGCGAGTGAATCCCACGCGCAGCTCCTTTCTCCGGCGTGTGGAGGCGCGTACGACCGTGTTTTTGGACCGGACCACCACCATTCTTCTCGTCTTCTTGTCTTCTGTCTGGATCTGTAATTATTTTTCTGATCAGAGGTCATTTGATATTTTGTTTGGTTGATTTTATCGCTGGTTGTTAACTTTTTTTGTTAAAGAATGGCCGAGCATGATAGTTCTTCGATCTTATCTGGTAAGAGCACACGTTTTATATCTCTTCTTGCTTCTTGCACCGATTTTAAAACCTCATGGATTTTGGATTCTGGTGCAACTGATCATATGGCTTGTCGTACTGAGTTGTTTTGTTCTTATCATCCTACTGTTGGTAGTCATACTATATCTGTAGCTGATGGATCCCATAAATCAGTTATTGGTTCTGGTAACATTCAAATTCAACCTTCCTTGTTTCTTAAAAATGTTCTTTATGTTCCTCAGCTTTCTACTAATCTTATCTCCACTCAAAAACTTACAACTGATTTGAATTGTTCTATCACATTTTTTTCCTTCTCATTGTCTTATTCAGGATCTTACCACGAAGAAGACAATTGGAGTTGCTAATGAACAGGATGGGTTGTATCATCTCCTTCCAGACCATGCTAGCAAAAATCAGTTATTAATGACACGTCATCCTTCTACTGCAGAGTCTATGATTTGGCTCCATCACAAGCGTCTGGGGCATCCACCATTTAGTCTTTTGAAGTCTATGTTCCCCTCTTTGTTTCTCAATAAGTCGGTTGAGACCTTTCATTGTGATGTTTGTGAATTTGCAAAACACCATCGAGTGTCATTTCCTTCTAGCACTATTAAAAGCAGGGAACCTTTTTCTCTTATCCATTCTGATGTTTGGGGCCCTTCTAAAGTGCACAGTGTTTCAGGTGCAAGGTGGTTTGTTTCTTTTATTGACGATTGTACTCGGATAACATGGATATACTTGATGAAAGACAAGTCTGAAGTACCAGAGATATTTATTCGGTTTCATCACATGGTTGAGACTCAGTTTGGTAAGGGTATTAAAAGACTCAGATCTGATAATGGTACTGAGTACGTCAATCAACGCCTGTCACAATTCATTTCAGACAGAGGTATGATTCATGAGCTCACATGTGTTGATACCCCTCAACAAAACGGGGTTGCTGAAAGGAAAAATCGTCATCTTCTTGAAGTTGCTAGAGCACTACTTTTTCAGACATCTGTTCCTAGTTCTTATTGGGGAGAAGCAGTATTAGCTGCAACTTTTTTGATCAACCGTTTACCTTCACGGGTCCTTAACAATATCAGTCCTATTCATTCCATGACTTC